CAGGAGGCTGAGGCAGGAAGATTACTTTGAGTCCTGGGGTATATAGTGTGCTCAAGGCCAGACTGGACTAGATAGGGAGACCCTGTCTCAAAAAAACAAAACAAAACAAAACAAAAAGCTGAGCCTCAGGTATTCTGTTACAGCAGCAGCCAACAGATCCTGCTGCCCCTTTAGGCTGAAGCTGTTTGCAGCTGCCTTTAGTCCATGTTTCTGAAATTATTTCCCAGCCCTCGTGTCCTTGTGCAGTGGTAGAAGTGCACCAGCATGGGGTCACCAGGCACCCTCCTCACCTTCCCTTCTGGAGCATGCTCTGCACAGACAGAACTGCCTGTCCTCCCAACCTCTGCCTCCAGAAGCCTAGGTCCTGGGCCTCCTCACAGACAGGTCCTCCTCAGGGCCCTGCCTGTCCTAGGTAGCATTGGCCTTTCCCTGCCGACCTCTCCTGGCCCTTCGCAGAGTCCCCCAGAACAGGTCTGACTCAGATCCTGTTTTGTCAAGTGGTGACCTCCTCACTTGCCCTTCCCTCATGAAGGTCAGAGGGTCATGGTCAGGGGCCACACCATGGTCTCACAATTTTGCCAACCAGATACCAGTCTCCTCATCTCACTCACAGGACCCACTAAGGGAGGGCTTCCTCAGGGTGAGGACAACCCCTTGGAGGAAACTGGAAGCCCTGCCCTGAGACATGGTGATGTGTAGGTCAGTCCGTGTCTGGCTACTTGTACCAACACACTGATCCCAACTGGGATGGGCTCTGGGGAAGCTGAGTCAGACCTCTTTCCTTCCAAAGGCCTGCTATAGATAGGAGACCTCTAAGTACTTCTAAGTCTATGCCCCAGGACAGCCAGGTTACCTGGGGATGGGTGGATCTGGGAAGAGTTCACCCTGGTGGGGAGGTGGCTCTCAGAACAGAGAGGCTTTGCTGTGGTGGCCTAGGGCAGGGAGGACCAAGGCACACTGTGCTCCAGTCTGACCTGTAGGCATCTAAGGGACCATGGGGAGAGGCTCTTCCTCAACTGGCCCTGACGAGGGGCTGGGGATGTAGCTCAGTGGTGCCATGCTTGTCTGGCAAGTGTAAGGTCCTGAGTTCAATCCCAGATACCAAAAAACCAAGCAAATGGCCCTGGAGTAATGGTAAACACAGCACCATTTTCTGGAGCTTCCGCTAAGCCTAGTTCAATCTGACCTTTGAGGTCCATGGGGTGGACACAGTTAAGATCCTAAATTTGTCCCACTCTAAAGAGCACACCTTTCATACCACAGGAAGAGCCTTTCGGGGTCCCCAGCTGCGTCTGTTTTGGGGCCGGCCTGTCAGGAAATGTGGGTAAGGGACGTGGAACTGGATGGGGTGACAGAGAGTGTGACAGAATCAAGAGCGTGGTCCCCGTGGAGAGCTGAGGCAGGCCCTGGCCCACAGAGGATGAGGCCCAGGCGGCCAGAGTTTGGGCTTTGCAGGCTATCGTGGGAGCTGGATTTGCATGTGGCATTGCCTAGGCTGAGTGATGGCTCAGAAGGCTCACAGGCCGTCAGCCAGGACTTTGGAGCTCATGCTGGCTGGGCCTGGCTCTCTTTCCCCCATCCCTGGGACCCCAGTAGTGTCACAGTTGAGGTGAAGAGACAGGAGCAACCATGTGAAGGCAGACGCTCAGGGCACTGCCCCTCCTGTGCTCACAGACTGGAGTGCGATGGTGTTGTTATGTCTCCGCCGAGCCTGTCAGGAGCAGCCAGAGGCTGGGAGGTACAGCAGAAAGAACAGGGGCTTTCACTGGGGTGGCCTGGTTTCAAATACTGATCCAGCTTGTCCTGGTCACATGGCATCTTTCCTTCCAGCCTTAGTTTCCCCTCCTGAGATGCAGGGTTGGTGCTGACCATGGTTTTCGCATGTAACTGAGTGCTTTTTCCTTCCCTGATCCTGGAAACTAACTCCACTGCATTTCTCCTGGCCCATCTGCTCTTTCAGGGAACACCTTCAGCACCCTGGCAGGACTGGTCCTTGACTGGACATGGAGGTGGACAGGTTCTCAGATTCCCACAGTGCACTGCGGTAAGAGGCACCTTTGTGAGGTCTGGATGGCTTGGGGGGACCTGGGATGGGGGGCATCATGGGCCTTTCATGGGCCCCGGCCCTTGCAGCACTGTCAAAGAGGAGTCTGGGACACTTCCCAGAAGCCTGCGACATTCCCAGTAACTACAGGGAAAGGGTTTCCTCTCCCCAGCTGTGCAGGCACCCAGCTGTTCCCAGTGTGTTCCGTGGAAGCTTGGGAGAGAGTCTGAGATGTCTGGCTGGTGACACAAGATGACACAAAGAACACAGAGCTGTCTCAGGCTCGGGGGGGGGACAGGTGTGTGGCCCCAGGGCAGAGCCAACACTCCCTGTGTGGAGCAGG